AAGCTCATCCAACCCTGCCTCAGTCGGCTCCCATCCTGCTCAGCTTTGCAGGAATTCCTAACATGGCAATGAAAGACCCCTCTGCAGTTTAGCCACAAGACCTATCCACCGGTTACTAGAAAGCTTCAGGCATGTGGAAATCCATTCTTCTCCCAATGGGTGAGGTAACTCTGGCCCAATCACTCATCCAAACTCACATGTTGTAAAATGACTGACGATGTTAATGATGTAGGTGATAAAAACATCAACCAACATTTATTGAGTGTTCATTCATTTTGTGGGAATGACTAAAATGAAAGACCTCACTGCGTTTTTGCAAAAACCCTTGCTCATCAAGGTACAGTCAACAAAGCCAGGTTTGTAGAGCCAGACAGAACTGGAGTCAGATTCTTGCTGCGCTGCCAAAAATTTCAGTGATTCCGGGGAAGCCCTTTAGCCTTTTTGGGCTTCATTCTCATCTGATAGATGGGGATATTTGTGTCCACTCTGACCTCTTGCTTAAAATAGTGCAAGTTTACAGAGAAATGCCAGACATAAGGGATATGAATGCTTATCACAAACTGGAAGTGCACTCTTCACACAGGATTTGGTTGAGGGTCACATGGGATTGTGGCTGGCCTAGAACTAAGGTCCAGCTGTCTGAACTCCCAGGCCAGGAAGATGGAACTGCTGTTCTCCTCAGTCGAGAGGAGCAGAGACCACCAGCTGGCATGGAGATGCTGTTTGACCCAGGAACTCCCAAAAGTAGACTCTCCTATCTCCAGATACCAGCTTCTCACCCCCACATTTCACCACCGGTGCAGCTGCCTTTGCCTCTAAATTTTCACCTCACACAGACACATACAACACTCATATACACACACACTCTCATTCTCACACACACGTACACCTTAGCTCTTACAGATTATCAGAACTCACAGAACTGGTCCTGCAGCCCCTAGGGATCTGTCAACATCCAGGGAAATTCTGGAACCCCTAGGCTATCCCTATTCTTCAAGGTGAATATTTCTGGAGGTGGGCAGGAATGAATAAAACAAAAAGGTGCCCTTGAAGTAGCAATGCATTTCTCTAGCAAATTTTGTTTCATTTTTGCAAATACCGTAATATCCAGTAACTGAATTTTTAGAAAGTGATTGTTCTTTGATTAGACTAGATGGCACTGTGGTATCACCCTTTTAATAACCAAGAAAATCCTATGTCATTTCAAATAATTTTACTTCAATTTGGGACAATCCAAGAGGCTTTGAGGGGTCCTGGTTATCTTCTGGAGAATGCGGGAAGGAATCTGCCAGAAGACAGTAGGCACCAAAGAGATAATCTAGACCACATTCATAATGTGTGTTTACAGACATCACACCCTGACCAACATGTTCAAAAGGATGGGTAAACGCACATGTGCCCTGTGAAACTCCAGACAATGCTGTGTCTTTCGTAGTGACCAAGACCTTGTTTTCACTTCTCTGCTATAGTCATGGCCGTGGAATTCTACTTTTGCCCAAAAGAGCTTTTTGAATATTACCACCTCTCACTACACAGACAAGCTCAGTATTAGAAATTCTTTTCACAATGTTACCAAATTGTTTGGGAGCTTCTTAGAACACCAGAATATTGTTGTGACAATGATTTACACAATTCTACCAATGGTTTGAGGTCCTGGGGCTAAGGTTTTCTTGGGGTGGAAGAAAAAATCTGTTAGTACCAGAAAGAAAATACAAGTTTGGCTGATTCTGCCACAATTCCAGCATTTGAGAAAGAACACTGTAAACTGCAAGAAGAGAGCGTCTGCTCCTCCAGAGTACCAAGTGCACCATGGGGGAGCGGGCACACAGGACACAGACCTGTCCTTGCCGGCCCAGAGACACCATTCAGAGGCCTCCAGGCAATGAAACTCACTTTGTGCACCCCCTGGACTCCCTGCTTCAGCCCATATTTGTTTCAAGGAGACTTGGAAACACCAGCCCTGGCTGGACCAACTGCACCCCATAGCACTCACTTCCCCCCACCCCACCACCACCCACTTTACATGCTCCATGACCTCCAGCAACTGGATATTGTGGCTGGAGGGAGGAAAATACCCTTGTTTCTGGCTACAGACTATTAATAAATCAGCTTTTACCGCATCAGCCCAGGCTCCCAGAAAATGGGCTGGCAGCGACCCATGCCGGGGCTCGGGCTTTTGTGTGTGTGTGTGTGTGTGTGTGTGTAAATCAGGAGAGGCTCCTGGTGACCGAACCCCACATGGGGTCCAGGGCAGCAACCCAGCCCGCCCCTCAGTCCGCGGGGTGTCCCCTGGCAATCCCAAAGCGCCACGGATGCCTCACATGCAGCCAGTACTAAGAGGCAAGCCAGGAACCTTGAACTCTCGCTGGGTATCGGAAAATAGCGACAGAGGAACACCCAGACGCCCGGAGAGAACTGCGCTAGAAGGGCGAAGGAGAGAGGTGATAAAAGTCGGGCAAGAAGAGAGAAACAAAGAGTAAGAGAGAAAGAGAAGAAAAGTGAGAGAGGAAAGTGGAAAGAAGGAAACAGAGAGCAAACAAGAGCAGAGAGGATCTGGGGCACAAGAGAGAAAGAGGGGGTACAGGGTAAACAGACGGAGCGAGAAAAAAGGGGGAGGGAAAAATGCAGGCGCCGAAAGGAGAAAGAGAGTGCCGAAAGGAGACTTCGGAACCCGGTTGTGGAGTAGAGGAAAGGAGGGAACCGGAGATGCTACTCGGAGAGTGCAGCTCTTTAGGGCTCTCCGGTGCGGAGTCTTGAGTGCGAGGCACCGTCCCGGCGGCGGCCAAGGGGGCGCTAGTTCTGGGCCTTTCGGCCGCCTACCCCGCACGCTCTCCCAACCACCACGCAGGCCACTCTGCCAACAGACTGACTGGCCGTCAGGGGTCGGAGCGAAAAGCCTTTCTGAGGCCGCCGCAGCTCGGCGAACGTGCGCTACGGGGCGCCCGGCACCTGCCTAGCCAGGACGCAAACGCCCGGGCGTCAGGGTGCCCGCTAGGTCCCCGGCTAGGGCCAGCCGCACCTCCCCTCCCTCCGCCCGCCTAGGCCCAGGTCCTGCTCGACCACCGGCGCGCACTCACCTGGACGGTCTCAGCCTGGAGTCGCGCTTGCCGTCCACCACAGAGGGCACACAGCTGGTGAGCTCGGTCCAGTCGGCGTGCAGCCCGCAGCTCCAGCCCGTGGAGAACCTGGAGAAGAGCCAGGTCTCCCGCTTACCCGGCCGGTGGCAAGTGCATTTCTTCTGACCCACGCGGCACTCGCAGGGCTGCTCCAGCTGGATATTGCGAACCAAGTGGCGGCCGAAAGTGGTGCCCCCGGTCTTCTGGATGTGCAGGAACACGATCAGGTCATCGCCCTTTATGTCGAAGTCTACCTTGCGCAGGAGGTCGCTGCGGGTGAAATTGTAGCGAGGCACGAACCTGGCGGAGCTCTCATCCTCCGAGCGGTACGGGTCCGGCACCGGGGAGCTGAACGCCTGCAGGCGGAGGAGCTGGCATTCTGTGCCGGGGCACACGTATTGGAGGACGATCACGGCAAATAGGAAGAGCATCACCAAAGCTAGCAGCAGCTTGTTGGATTTCTCATCCATGTTCCCGACGCTGGGGGAAACCCAAGCTCGTTACGTCAATCCCGCAGCTCGGCCCGCGCTCGCCGGGCCCCCGCACCGCCCCCTCCCCCTGGCGCCGCCGCTGCGCCCCTCTCCCCCTCCCCTCCGCACCGAGTACTCCACGGCGGCGGCGGCGGCTCCCTTCCCCGCTTCCTTTCTTCCCGGCAGGCTAAGCGCTGAGGCTTCTGCGGCACACACACACCCCCACCCCGACTCCTTCCCGCGGGCCCCCTGCCTCCTCCCCCCGTCAGAGCTCGCCGGAGCTCCCCGGAGCCCCTCCAAGGGGTTTCGTGCCAGTAGGACCTCTCCGGGCTCAGTAGCCCACTCCTCAACTCACGCCCCCAGTCCGGGCCCCCGTGTGTCTCACTCCACTCTCGGTGGCTCCCATCCCCATCCCGCTTCGCCCGCCGGGCTCTCCGGGCTCTTCTGCCCCAAGCCCCTTTGGAGTGCACACCTCTGCCCGGCTTTCTCCCCGCATGCCCCGAAGCCCTCCTTTTGCCCGCGCCCGCTTGCCCACCCTGGAGGCGGCCTCGAGGGAGCTCGGAGCCGGGCGCTCAGAGTTTCCCTGGGGGAAGGAGCCCGCCAGCAGCCCGACTTGCTAGCGAGGACGCTGCTCTGCCGGTGCCCGCGGAACAGTGGCGCCAGAGCCGCGGCGTGGCCAAATGCTCGCCGCGACCCTCCAGAGACCCCCCCTCTCGGCCACCACTGGCCAGCTGGAACTTTGCACCCTTTTCTACCCCCCGCGGCTGCCTTCCCGCCCCGCACGGCCCCTTCTCACCCTAGTCTGGGAGCTTGAGCCCAGCTTTCATCAAGAACGTACCTGGCCAGGGGGCCGAAGATCTTGGAGAAGATCGAACAGAGCACGTGCTTCAGCGAGTGGCCCAGGGCAGCCAGGCCCCGAGTGAGCAGGGCCCGGCAGAGGGAGCCCAGGTCCCAGCGTCGCCTGAGGACGTGCATCCGCCTGCGGCGGCGCCGGGACAGCAGCGCGAAAAGCGGGGCGCACGCGGCTCCCGCCAGGGAGGAAGACGCCTTTCGGGGCTTCTCCAGGAGTGGCCGGGAGTTGAATTCGTCAGACACACCCCTAGGAGGGCCTGCGCCGACCGAGGCAGCGACCGACCCGGGCCGGCTCGCTGCCAATTCGGCCTCTACTCTGGAATGCCGGCGGGGACAGGTGGTGCGAGCGGGCGCTTCTCGCTCCGGTTGCGGCGGCGGCTCGAACGCCCGGACTGCACTCGCAGGCAGTGCCATTCCCCCCTTCAGGCAACTCAGGGTACTAAGGATCAGGAGCGAGCTTGAATTTATATAATAATGCCTCACGCCCAAAAGCTCGAGCCACTTCACAAGCAGAGAACCTGGGTTTTCTCTTTTCTTGGAGTACGTAGGTCACTCTGCTTAGCGCATCACTCCACTTTGGCTCGTAATTTCAACCTCTCCTAAAATAGCAAAGGCGCAAATTGGAGCTTTTCCCTCTCTCTTTGCCAATTTCCATTCTCCAGCGGAAGCGGGGGCATTTTCTGAAAAGGTAAGTCAGCATGATAAAAAGACAGCATGACCAAAAAGCGTTACAGAATGAGAATCTGACCTTTTTTAGAGCACAGACTGTCTTCTTGCTGAATTATGTGTACCAACCCCGTGCCCGCAGGAGGGCTTGACTCACAAAAGATTTGTTGAATAAATGGATGTATAACTAAAAACTCCATCAGAGTGAGACCGTCTAATCCAAGGTAATGTGACGCATGAGGAAACTGAGGCCCAGAGAGGGGCAGGGACATGCCCAAGGTCACACAGCAGAGCCCCAGTGTTTGAACCCAAGAAACCCGGCACCATCCCCTTATTTCCTGATACGAACACCACCTTCTCTAGTAAATAGGCACAAATGTTCCTCAAGCTCCAGTGTCCAAAGGGCTCTTTTCTGTTGCAGGAGCAGAGCTGCAGGGATTAACAGGGAAAGAATGGCTGTCCCTTCAGGCAAAGGACCCTGAGAACTCAGGACTCAGTCTGTCCCAATCTGATTAATGGAAGGGGCTTGACGTGCATCAGGACACTGGCGTTTCCATGACTGAGTGTGCAACTCCCTCCAGTCCCACTGCTGCAGAAGGGGCACCGGAGCAACTAAGTGGGAGGATCCGGACCAGGAGCTGAGTCTTAGGGTGGGGGCATGTCCCTCCTTGAGACAGGCTCTCCCAGTATCTCTCTCAGCTCTGCTCCATCCCTTTCCTGTTTTATCTGTGCTATGAAGCAGCAAGCTTAAGAATGGTCTAGAAGTCCTGGGAAATCTGTCACTTGCTTGCTTGGCAGCCGTGGGATAATCACTTGCCCCTCCTGAGCCTCAGTTTTCTTCTCTGTAAGATAGGACCAATTCTGTTGTCTGTTTTGCCTACTGAGTCACTGTGGGAACAAAATGTAGAAAACTTTAGGCCACTCCAAATGTGAGTATGTGTTTACCTGTTGCTCTAAGCTCAGTGTGCCAACTAAGTCACAGGCCAAATAAGGAACAGGCCTTTCTCGGGCAATTTCTCAGCTGTGCACCCTGTCCTTACCACCACCTAGAACTCCCAGCCCTGGCTAGAATTCCACGTGCCCCCAAATCTACTGGGAACATTGAGGGACCCTTTGTCCAACTGGAGGCATAAGGGATGGTGGATTTTTCTGGAATCCTGAATTTCTAGCACTTCAGGCATCTCCTGTCCTGAGGCTCCAGGAATACTCGGAAAACCCAATGAACTTGCAGGAAGAAGCTAGATGCAATAACTTACAAGGTAGCCCTCAGCTTCCACAAAAGCTCCCCTGGTGCCCAGACTGGTAGAACTGGACCTGCTCCCACTAAGGGCAGCTTAGGGTGTGAGCCAGTGTAGTGGGAAGCTATGGGGGTATCCCCGGAGCTCAGCTTGCCAGCTGCCGTTGCCTTCTGCTTGGCCACTCACTGCAGTAAACCTCCTTAGCCTGCCCAGTAGGTGGCTCTCCTCATGGTGCCACGTAAAGACTCCCTGCCATTACACCACCTTTGTATGTAATGGCATTCAATGGGTCCCTAGGAAAATATTTCTGAAACAGGTGGGTCGAAGATTCTAGCCCTCAGCAGCCAAATTATGGAGTTTCTACTGTAAGAGGGATTAGTGGGATTGGAACAAAGGAAAGTGTCTTGGGTGGAGGGAAGGGGGATGTGGTAAATGGTACAGGGTAAATGGTATGGTGGGGGTGCCGGGATAGCGGGTTTACTCTTATAAGTTGTAAAAAGTAACGTGTCCACACACATGCACACACACTTGCAGTCCAACCTTCAGAGAAAGGGCCAGTGAGGTTGGTAGTTGCAGAGCAAAAGGGACAAGGTGGGGCTGTAAAATCCAGTTTCTGAGATCTAATGTGTCACTAGGATTTCACCATTTAGAAGCCCTTCCTCCACCCCTCTCATGCTGTGAGGAACAAAGAAATGAATCTCTCATACAGGAATTCATGTATCTGGGCTCCTGGAAGTACAGGAAAATGGTTTTTGTGGGGAGTAGAGAGTCCCACAAACCTCAGAAGATCCCTCCAGGGTTGAAGAGGCTTTTTGCTGAGAAGCAGGGAATTTTTCCTAAGTGTGTCTCAAGAGCCATGCTCTCCTGAGGACAGGGCTGGGTCTTGGATGCATGTTGAAGAGCCCTCTTGCAATCTCGGCTGGTCTCTGCTCCCAGGAGCCAGTTCCTCTCAGGCAGTGAATGACAGAGGCTCAGATGCTCTAGATTTTGGCCTTTTGGGGAGAGACTGGGGGTGGGAGGCAAAAAAAAAAGGAAGAGAACTGACCGAACTGTCAAGTCTTTGATTTTCCATCTCCTTATTTCTAACACCACCTGGAGTTGTTGTGTATACATATATTTTGGATTCAGTATTTGGAAGGCAAGGAGAACTCTGTCATCTGAGCAGGGCTTCTGGTTGTCTCTGTGGTGTGGTATGATTTTCACTCTTTTCCCAGAACCATCCTTACATGGTTTCCAATGAAAAGGTTGATGATTCTGGGAGCATAAAGGTCAGCCTGGCTTGCATACTAAGCAGCACACTGACAGACATGCATTTGGTTCCTGTAATCTGAGACAACAGTGGGAGGTAGTTGCAAAAATACTGGCCTGGGAGTCCACAGACCTGGGCTCATGTCTTGACTCTGACACTAATGAGACTATTTTTATATATATATTTATATGTATATATATTTATATATACATATATATATATATATAAGTATATATATGTATATATAAATATATATATAAAACCCTGAGAAAGCCACTTGCTCACTTTTGGGCTCAACTTCCCTATCTGTGAGACGGCAAGTTTGACTTTGTGATTCAAGGGACATTTTCCCGACCTGACCTTCCTTGTCACGTGTTTTCCTTTACTGTCTTCCTCAAGTGCTGAAGGACTGCCAAAGAGTTAGGGCCTCAGCCCAGGGGGAGTGACTTAGACTGGGTCCTTCATGCATTCTGTGGCATTTGCATCACTGGATTCCACCAGTTCAGCAGTAGCTGCAATTGTTCTGGGCCCATATCACAAGGGTGACAGCAGGGTACCCTGTACAAATTAGAACAGAAATACTGAAAGCTTCATATTAAAGACAGCATGTCACTCTCCCTAGAAAGCATAGATGATGTTTTCCCCTGATCCTGAGCATTCTCTTCAACCCTGGCTTTCTAGCTGTCTCTCATTCTGTGAAAACGTTCATACTGTCAATAATAAGCAATTCTGTGACAAAGATAGAAGGCATGCAAACTACTGAGTTGATTGGTTTCTGTTCTTATGTGTCTCTCCAAATGGAATGAATAGCAGTACTTAATGAAAACACCGTCCTGCAATTCAGGCTTTAATATTATAAACAGGCTGGGTGCGTTATATACATCACTCTCAATAGTCATTTATTTTCCCCCACAAAACGCTGAGTTTTATTTGTCTAGCCTAACAAAACATGGGGCTCACGGTGTTAAAAAAGGAGGTTCCAGGGTGCCGTGTATGGTAAACGACTATGAGCTGAGAAGGCGGGATAAGCTCTGGAACGGGGCTCATAGTGGACCCATCCCTGTGAACAGGCAGCCTGATGACGGGCCCCCTCCTGATGGAAGTATTCCCACCATTTCAGTGAAATTCCCTTTTTTTTGAAATGGAGTCTTACTCTGTCACCCTGGCTGGAGTGCGGTGGTGTGTTCCCGGCTCACTGCAGCCTCCACTTCCTGGGTTCAAGTGCCTCAACTTCCCGAGTAGTTGGGATTACAGACATGCACCACTATGCCTGGCTACATTCTGCATTTTTTTAGTAGAGACAGGGTTTGGCCATGTTGGCCAGGCTGCTCTCGAATTTCTGTCCTCAGGTGATCCATCCACCTCAGCCTCCCAATGTGCTGGGATTAAAGGCATGAGCCACCGTGCCCAGCCAAAATTGCCACATTCCTACTTTTCATTGATAGCTAATGGAACAGTCAGTTCATGCAGGGCTTTTAAAGCTACAGTAAGGCCTAGCAACCATAGGCAGCAGGCCAGACTGCTCTTGGAACAGTCATCTCACTTCTTTGGGCTTCAATTTCCACCCGTAAGAAAATATCCTGGGCTGAATATGGTGGCTCATGCCTGTAGTTCCAGCACTTTGGGAGACCAAGGCAGATATATCTCTGGAGCCCAGAGGTTTGAGACCCACCTGGGCAACATGGCGAAACCCCATCTCTAGAAAAAAACACAAAAAATTAGCTAGGCATGGTGGCAGGAACCTGTGGTCCCAACCTACTTGGGAGGCTGAGGTTGGAGGATCCATTGAGCCTGAGAGATTAAGAGTGCAGTGATCCATGACAGTACAACTACACTCCAGCCTGGGTGCCAGAGTGAGACCCTGTCTCAAAAAAAAAAAAAAAGAAAGAAAGAAAGAGAAAAAGGAAAAAGAATAAAAGAAAGGAGCCTGACCAGGTACCTCCAAAAAGCTGGTTTAGGGGTATAGTAAAGAGGAATCCAATCTCAAATGAGTGTTTTTAAAGAGCAGAGAAGATAGATTTGTAGAGCACATTTCCCTGAGGGGTTTAGTTAGGGCTCTGTGAGTTCACTAACAATCTCAATTTTCTCATCCATGAAAATGGGGCTGATGATGGCCACCTCAGTGGGCTGTCATGCGAATTAACTACAATAATTTACTGAGAACACTCGATCTAATTCCTGGAAAAGCAGACATTCAGAAAATGCTTATTTTTTCCCTCACTTTTGAATTATCTTTGATTTGGTATCTTTATTATATTTCCACAATAGCAACATACATATACTTAATGACAGGCAACTGGCCATGGGCCTATTTATGGCCTAGGCTGGCTTTGCCACATCCTATTTTTTATCTGCAATCTTTTCTCATCCTTCCTTCACAAGTCTCCAGTGCTCTCCTGGCTCATGTCCCATAGAGGAAGAAAGCCTCTGATCCACTCTGTCACACTGAGGGATGGGACATATATACATGTCCCCTTCCAAGACATATCAACAAGAAAAGAGGGGATGGCAATGCTTAACCCTAATGAATGGTCC